TGTGATACTCACAGACAAATTACCTTTCTAATGGTGAAAGAATTTCTGAAATCGGCTTAGTAGTTTTTGAGTTATTTCAATATTGAAATATATATGCAAAAGTACAAATATTTTCTCTTTATAATATTAGAATGCCGGGTTATTGGCAACGGGTTATTAAAACGGACAATTTTTTTAAAACAATCTGCAGACCAAGTTCCATAACGGCTAATTTCGTTTTTAAGGCATTTTAGTGGATAACAATCTCGAAAATATTTGAGTAAAATGGGTCTTTGACTCGCATTTTTTTTATTGGACAGATAAATGATGTTTTTATATTGTAAAATAATCAGTGTTTAAAGGTTTTTATAAATCGGAAGATAAAATTAAGTTATCATTGACATTTTAAATAATTTTTTTAAGTTAACAGTGGTAGTGCCCGCTTTAACATCTTAGCACGAATGGGCCGGCACGCCCGGTGTAATACCACGACCACACAGAAGACAGGCGTGAAATAGAAGCAATTCCGTGTTTCGGCTGATGAGCGTGGTACCGGAGGCCTAATTTAAGTCCCTTTCTCTTTACCACCCTTTTCTTATAAGGAGAGGTTGGGAAGAGGAAGTGGATTTGACGGTGGAGGAGATGCATAGGAAGGGGAAATATCCTCTTTATATGCGTCTCCTCCTCCGTCATAAAAGGGTAGGCAACGCATCTGCAATTACGGATGTCTATAGGCAGCGGTCGCTTCGCCATTTTGGCGGTTTCAGGTGGCCGCTTGCTTGTTTGCCAACTTATGTTATAAAAAAAAAGTTTTAATTTCGACTTATTTTGAAAAATCGATAAATCAAGATTACTTAAAAATGGTTACCTTTTGTATAATGCAAATAGGGGTCAAAATTATCATAAATGATCCCCTCTATTACCTCCTAACGGGAATACGTCTAATTACCAATAACACTGTATTGAAAAGTATTTTAAATGTTGATTTGTATTAAATAAATCTGACATTACAGCCTAATAAAGGTAAAATTGTTTAAATAGGATTGTTTTATTTTTCCATCGAATTCAATCGATGAAGGCAGAAGTTTGCTAGGATTGTGTCAATAATCCTTTTTCTCTTCTTACCTAACTAAACGGCCATTAGTGTATTTTCATGTACTAATGATAACATATGAGTAGCATTTAAATTCTTAAAATAAATGATTTTCAACACAAACAACAGAAGTGACTAATTCCAACATTTGAAAACGAATTTATCTTCGAATAATATTACCAATTAAATGTCCGTGCTATTGACATGAACTAATAAATGTGTAACCAAACGCGTTTGTTAATCGATTTTTATAAAACAGCGCGCTGGGATCTGATAACCACCGCTGCATAATTATCGAAAAAGCTCGACATTTTAACGTTTCCGAACGATTTGCGTGCGTGTGCTAGTCAAAATAAATAAAGCGAAATAGCACATTGGTTCCACTTCGCCGGCTATCTCATTTGCGGTTCTCAGAGGAGTACTGCGTATCTGCCTATATTTCCGAATTTTATGCCTACAACGAACGCGCCCCTTTACGTGGCAATGTGTGAGTTTAGTTCCCGCTCTTCAACGGGGCCATTTTACATCGACCGGTGCGTTAGCGGGCGCCGCTATCGAATCCCTCCGTGTTTTATATATCGAACGGTGAACGGGATGGGTCAGATTAAAATTGCCAGCGTCGTAGTATGAGTTAGAAGTTGAGCGATAGTACAGGGCTGCGCCACCCCCGGCGCGTGATCGCGCTGACTATTGCGTGTGTGTTAGAGAATGAACATTTAAAATGCCCACCCCATGACGATCACTATGCCGCCATTTTGTTTTTTTTTTTGCAATGATTTTTTTGTCTATTTCAATTAGTACATTATTTACCTAAAGTATAAATAAAATAAATACAATATCCATAATTACTTGTTTAGTCATAAACATGGTGTTTTATTTTATGTATAAACTATTTGTTCCCGTGCGTCTTCATCCGCGTAAAATTATGAAAATTTTATTACATTGTTTACATGTGTCAAATTATCAATTGCAAATATCAAAATGACCAGACATGATGACAAACAATGGCAACCTTGCTCCCTTAATGTTGGCAGCAACTTTTGGTCTGTTTCCCACATTAGGGTTTTTATCCAAAATATTTATCCCCTAAGTTTAACAGCGTAAAAATATATATCAAAGCGTGACCTAAGTGTAAGTCTTTTTAAAAAACTATTTTTGTTTATTATCCTACTTGCTTTCGCCCGCGATTCTTCGCGTAATTTAAAAAAAATACTTTAGTGGCCTATGTGTTCTTCCATATTATGTTCTATACCAATGAATGTCATCGCGATCTGTTCAGCCGTTTCGCCATCAAATTCTAACTAACATCCATCCATAAATCCAAACTTTTGCAAATTAAGATGTTAGCAAGAAGTAGGATGTTAGGAAGAAGTAGGATTACAGAAATGGCGAACCAATGACAGGCGACTCAATATTTTCATACAAAATTAGGTATTATAATAGGCATTAAAACTAAAATTGTAATTTGAATATACATACCCAATTGGTCTCTGGATACGATCCAACTTGTAATCACATTAACAACTATAACATTACCAACCAAAAATATCGCCACAACTTATTACAAGCACTTCGCGTTTAACACAAACATCTTCTAATCGTAAAACTCCGATCCGTATTGCCAGAGGAATCTAGCTTAAATGTTAATACGTGATTCTGTAAGGGCAACGGTCACTTGCATTTCTCACATAAATTTGTATTTATTAACATTTACTTGGTAAGACCGTGAGATAAAGAGGGGTCATCTTAGGTGAAGGGTCGCGCAGAATTCAACCGGTTCTAAGTTAATCAAGTTTTAGAGGATGAGTTTTAACTTTGTGTTCGGTATAGATCGCCACGTTTGTTGGCGAACATTAATTTCGCGGCACGGGTTAATGCGGGTAATGGGCGATTTTTTATTCTCACTAATGGGTAGTATCGAATCCCTCTCGGGAACGGGGCCTACGGAGAGGTATGCGGGAGAAAGAGTCATATGTAGCCCAGCGAGACAGTCGATTAAAAAGTACGAGTTCAAAGGTCATCGGAAGTGGTTATTTCTCCAACATTGCGGGAGACACAACGGGTGTTTCAATTTTGTTAGAGAACAAAGTTACTTGCAATTTCGGTTTCGCATTTGGAATGGTGCACACAGGCGCATCTGCACCTGAATCCGCCAAAATGGCGAAGTAACCGCTGCCCATAGACATTCGCAATTAAAGATGCGTTACCCACCCTTATCCGACAGAGGAGGATACGCATATAAAGAGGATATCTCCCCTTCCTATGTATCTCCTCCTCCGTCAAATCCACTACCGCTTCCCATCCTCTCCATATAAGAAAAGGGTCTTAAAGGGAAAGGGACTTAAATTAGGCCTTCGGCACCACACTCATCAGACGAAACACGGAATTGCTTCCATTTCACGCCTGTCTTCGTGTGTGGTCGTGGTATTACACCAGGCATGTCGGCCCATTCGTGCCAAGATGTTAAAGCGGGCACTACCACTGTATATGATTTAATTATATTTATATTTGTGAGATAGCGCCATCTTTGGTAAAAGTGGGATACTTAAATAATCGATTTAAATCATTGGAAATGTGTAGTTTACAAGAAAGCATCGATAGATGTCGCCTTTTTGAATTCTTAAATGAGCCAGAGTTTTACACTGCGAGTATCTTTATGTTATTAAATTGTATATGTCGGCGGAACAATATTTATAATTTTAACGTCCCATCATCAATACATTAATTTATAAAATGAATTTAGACAGCCATTAAACATGACATTTAATTAAAGTAACGTTGCTGTAGCATATTCAACAGTGTGTCGATAAGTCAGCAAACCGACAGTTTCAATATTTTTTCTAAGAATATAAATCTAAGGCCTATCTTTAAAAAATCACTGACTTAATTAAAATAATAGATTAAGTAGCTTGTATTCTATTTTGTACTTAGTACTTCTCTTTAAATAATAACATTAACAAATTTAACTAAAAGACGAAAAGGAACAAAATATCTAAAAGTCAAAATCACTTTCATTATACGATAATAACTCTGTAAAATTGTACAAAGAAAGGTTTCTACTGTTTCTTAACATTAATTTATTTGTATGTTTACAGTCTTGTTAATTCACTTTAATTAATTTGTGAGTTTTAAAAGTTTGTCATATGACATCACAGCGCCACGATCTTGGCGGCGACTGTTACTTTAGTAAAGATTTATAAAAAGCAGACGCATGAAGAGCCACTCAGTACATTTCGGATTTTTGAAGAATAAATCTGTAAGTAGTCTTCAAGTCGATTTGCATAAGAATTGTAGTAATTGTAATATTCAATGCTATATCCTGTAACAAGCTGTTCCCATGCGACTTCATCCGCATGAAATTATGATAATATTTTTTTATTGTTTACATTTGTCAAGCTATCAATTACAAATCTCAAAATGACATGTCATGATGAGAACCTTGCTTCCTTGATGTTGGCAGATACTTATGGTCTCTTTCCCACATTAGGGTTTTTATCCAAAATATTTACTCACTAAGTTTAATGGTGTTAAAATATATAGCCTAAAGCATGACGCAAGTTTAGAAAAAAAAGTATTATTCAAAAATTTGCTGTAATTGCTGACACCTTAGGCAACAAAGAAGTGTGTGTTTACGCTTTATTTTAATAGTATAGAATTATAGATTCTAAAACTTATGTAATGAAACCCAGTCTGTTGCTGTTAACGTTCAAATAAATACTTCAAACTAAATGTGTATTGCAGTGGATGTGTTTTGCTTATTCGCTTAAGTCTAATTTATTTTTTTGTTTATCACCAACTTTTTCCTTGAAGTTTTTTCAAAAACTGCGCCCATGCCTGTAGAATAAAACCAACAAAAATACATTTCGCCTTTCGTTTGTTATTCATATAAAAATAACGATTTGAAATAGTCGAGGGCGACAATATCTTGTTAACTTTCAAACAGAACATCATCAGCCTTTAGCAGCTTCCATACTTCCACTGGTATTCCATCCGGCCCTACGGCCTTTCCGTTCTTCATACCTTGCACTGCTTTCTTTACCTCATCCACACTAATCTCTTTCACTATACCAATATTAATAGGTATGTTTTCCAACACCCCACTCCAAACATTCTCTTCGTTCATCAGTTTTTCAAAATATCCCTTCCATCGCTTTTTAATATCATCATCATTCATCAATATCTTTCCTACATCGTCTTTTATGCATCTAATATTGTTTATGTCTCTTCCACTTCTTTCTCTTTCTCTTGCAATACGGAACAGATGTTTTTGTCCCGGCGGGCTGTCCAGAGATTCGTATAATTTGTTTTGCGCCTGTGCCCTAGTAATTGCAATTGTTTTTTTAGCACATCGCTTACAATTCTTATATTCTTCTCTTTTACTCTTTTTCAAATCTCTATCATTCTCATCTACTGCTTGCCAGGCCTTAAATGCAACTTTCAAACAGAACATATGAAAAATAAATTATTAGGCTTGTTAAAGAAAAGAAAATTATTACTGTACCCTCATTTTTTGGACGTACGGTCAAATTTAAGTCGGAAATCTGATTTTTTACATAAAAATAAATACATTTAAAACCATAGAAAATCGGTCAACATGCTTTGCGTTTAAATGATAGCTATTGAGGTTCTTTACCTCCACAAAAACGATGATCCGTCCGTTAAGAATCACTTGTATAAGCATGATTGCCGTGGTAACGGTAATTATGTCTTAACAAACTTAATTAAAAAAATTAAATGAAACGCATATTTTTTAGAATGCTCATGATATATATTTTACCGATTTCCATAAAGAATGTGTCCAATTAAACTTGTTAAATTTTAAACTGCTAGTAACACGTAGGGCATGGTCTGCCACGGCGTCCAATCTTGACTATAAATTGCTTACGAGTAAGCTGACAAGGTCTACGAATGCCTGAACGTCCTCTTCCGATCACTCTTCCACTCGCCGAGCTGACAGAAGATGACGATGCACTTGAGCTGCGTTCGTTGATAATAACCAATGGTGACGGTGCTCCTTGGTAAGTGTAAGGAGCGTAAGCTTCAGAAGCTAATGCATTAACATAAGGAGTGTTGGCGCTAAATGCGTTATCGATGTTACCCACGGATGATGCAGAAGCTGAAGCAACACTTGAGGCGGATGAACCTTGGTCACTTTCGTTGATAA